GGGGGGGAGGGGTAACCCCGAGTCGGCATCAAATTTCAGCGAAACAAATCCATATGCGCAAGATGATGGAAATAATGAAAAGCTCCGAAGGTTCCGCGAGAGAGAGAGAGAGAGAGATCACTCACCTGCCAAAGACCTGTAGGCGTCCCTGATCTGCTCCTCGCTCGCCTCCTTCTCCACGTTTAGGATGGCATAAAGGCCCTCCTTGTCAGCATCCTTGACAGGATCGGATTGGCGCGAGTTGGAAGTTGAGTTGCCGGTAGGGTCATGGGAGTCCCTGAAGGGCCTACCACCAAAGAGAGGTTCATCCCCATCCTCTTCATCCTCGCCAGCACCTTGTCTGGGTCCTCTCTGACTTGAGGAGCTTGTAGATGAGGAGGAGGATGTGGACCGAGTTGAGGAGGAGGAGGAGGAGGAAGAAGAGGACGGATGGATTGGGAATGAGTTGGAAGAGCTGGCTTGAGATGAGGAAGAAGAGGTAGAGGAAGAGGATGATGACGAGGATCTTGAGCTTGAGCTGAAGGAAGATGGTGAGTAGGGATCTTCTTCGGACTCGTCCGAGACGGAGATTGAAGCGCTCATGGTGAGGACGTTGTCGTGTTTTACGCCACCTTCCTCTCTATTTGCTCGGCCACCCAAGGGGGAGAAGGGTTTGGTCGGTCGGCTCGGAGGGTTTGATGGTGGTGGTGGTTTAGGGAAGATTGGAGGATGAAAAGGGATCGGGATCTGGCTCCGTGTCACTTTGCGAGGAGAGGCACTGCTCGTCAGCTTGGCCCAAAGTCAGGTGGAGATCAACCTGCTTCATTGACTTCGCCCCTGGTGACGCGAGCATCAGTGCTCCTACGAATTACCAAATCCAGCTTGCAGCCATCAAGCATCAGCTTCTTCCTCCCCCTTCACATCTTTTCCCCTCACAGTCAATCTGGAATGCGATCCCCATGCGCAGAAGCGAGACCTTGCTCTGTGACTGCCAAAAGCACCCCCGTAGCCGCAATACAACAGAGTCTACTCTGGCTGCTTTCAGCCCAACATTGCTGAATCATATATTTATGTTCATTGAATCAATACCAACGCTCAGGGACAAGCAGCTATACATAGCTTAACGGGGCCTTTAGCTCAGTAGTAGAGCGACAGACTTCGGTCTCAATCGCATTCTGTAGGTCGCGGGTTCAACTCCCGTAGGGCTCTCTTTTTTTGTAACTCTCCATCTCATTTCAGCTTTTTTTGACCAATGTGCGAGAATCGAATGATGGCTCTTCCGCAAACCTGTTAGCTTCTCTCGAGCTTCTTTTGGGGCTTAGGCGGTGATTGGAGGCAAAAGATGTTTTCGACTTTCTTGGGAAGGTCCGTTTTTTTTTTTTTTGCGAGAGGAGGGAGGGGTGAGGGTGGGAACGAAATACGAAAAGGATCCGAAACAAGAGATAAAAGGAAGGAAATGTGTCAAAAAAAATAAAGAAAAGAGGGAAAAACGAACAGAGCCTGGAAGAAAAAGAGAGCCCTACGGGAGTTGAACCCGCGACCTACAGAATGCGATTGAGACCGAAGTCTGTCACTCTACTACTGAGCTAAAGGCCCCATCCTCGAACAGTCTAGTTGGACTAGCTGAAGCGAGTGTGGGAAAGGCGAAATAATTGTTTATAAAGATTCAGAACATATACCCCTCGCTGGCGTTTGCCAAAGTCTCCCCGATCTGACCCAGCAACTGCCTTCCAGCCATGTCCAACGAGCGAGCACTCCACCGTGGTCCGCTGTTCACCTTTTCTTCTTCCCGAAAGAGGGGGGGGGTTCAATTTCGAAAACAGGTCCGATTTACCCACCAAACCTGAGCTCTCTCTCTCTCTCTCTCCACCTTGCTCCTCCTTCTTCGTTAACACCGGCTTTGGGGAAGGCGTTCCGGAGAATACTTTGGCGATGCTGGAAAACTGCAAGCATTTCGGGTGGATCGAGCGGGAAATCAGAATGGACAGACCCTTCGGATCGAGGTGCGAGGGTTGGAGAGGAGGAGGAGGCCAGGCATGGAAAGGGAGAGGCCAGGCCAGTCAGCCTGTCAGTCAGTCAAGCCAAGGCACGAGGTCACACCATCATCGGTTCTTTTCACTTGGGACAGGGGTGAAAAGAGGTGAGCTGAGGCCGTGCGTAGTCATGAGTGTGGAGGCGGACCCCCCTTCCTTTCCTTACCTTCCCAAAGGGCACGTGACCGAGATACGAAAGGGAGCCATTCGAGTAACTCGAGTCCAAGACCCAAGTTCATAAGTCCAAGTCGGCGTTGGAGTAAGCTCGTGAGTCGTGAGTCCGTGACCGTGTCCGTAGACCTTTTCTATTTCATCTTTGAATTGGGGTCGTTTCCTCAGAAGAAAGAAGAAGCTCTGACGAAAAAAAAAAGGAAAGCAACAAAATCGTTTCGAGAGAACCTGACGTCGGCAACAGTAAAAAAAATAAGATAGAAAATGAATCGAAATGGACTGCCCTCCCCATCTCTCTCTCTCTTTCTCTCCGGGATCACCCCCAAGACACCTCGTACATCCGTACCACCCCGCCTTCTCTCAACCATCCATCCCTTTAGGGAACTCAACACACGAAACCGAGCCGGGGGACAGGTCAGAAATGTCGGCCGACTCGATCGAGAAGGAGCAAGCGGGTCCCAGCAACTCATCATCCAGCCATCCAACTGGGACGTCCACCGCGCATACCCCAACTCCCACCCACCCTTCCGATCCTTCCGAATCAAGCCTCGAAGCACCGTCAGGCTCATCCAGGGCTGAAGACGATCCGAATCGATCGAAACCTCAAAACAGAGAACGAAAGCCAGCTTGCGGCGACGGCCTCAAACCCAACAGGAGCAACAACAACACTAACAACAACAGCAAGGGCAAGAACCTGGCAGAACTGACGTCGGAGCAGTTGAGATCCAGAATCACTTTCATCCCCTCCGGTCAGCAGGTCCTCTTGAAGCTCCCATCCGAAAGGCTCAAGCCCATCGTCCTCCAGCCCGGCAAGAATGTCTCGATCGGCAAGTTCGGCTCCTTCAAAGCCGACGAGCTCATCGGGATGCCCTTCGGCTACACCTACGAGATAGCCGAGAGGGGAGGAGGTCTCAGCGTGGTCGTAGACAGGACCCTCGCCGAGATCGAGGCGACCGATGCGACCAACGAGAACATCAACGACGACGGCGACTCTCAAAAGTTGACCTACGTCGACATCAAGGCCTTCAAGGATGCCGGCCTGGATGGCAGGGTGAGCCTCTTTCCTTCCCTTTCTTTACAATCGAGCAAGGGAGCCAAAAAGAAGTGACCAAAAAACCTCACGGCGTTTCCTCTCCGACTCACTCCGCGATCTCGCTCGCCTCTCTCCTCTCCCCCTGTCCTGCCCCTCTCCCAGGAAATCATAAAGAAGCAGCTCGAAATGAATTCTTCTTACGATCAAAGGACCGCATTCAGTCAAGCCAAGTACGTCAAGAGGAAGGAGCAAAAGTGAGTCCCGCCAACATCGGCCAAGCTCGGGTCCTTTCTAGTGAAGGTAAGACCAAGCATGTACTCTGCATAGACTGACAACCATCTTTCCGACCGCTCCACCCCGAACGACCCCCCCTTCCTGTCTCAAGGCACCTGAAACTCTTCACACCTCTGCCCCCGGATACGATGACGATAGCTTCGTACAACTTCGAGAAGAACTCGGAAAAGATCAGGTGGATGAGACCCGACGCCCTGTCCCAGTGTCTCTCCTTTGCAAGCATCAGACCGGGTGGCAAGTACTTGGTCGTCGACGGCATCTCGGGCCTTTTGGTGGGCGCTATCTTGGAGAGGCTGGGAGGCGAGGGCTCCCTGATTGCCATCAACGACACCGAATCCCCTCCTGCCTTTGACCTGCTCGACCAGTTCAACCTGCCCCCTCAACTCACTAAAAACGTGCTCAGGACCATGCACTGGGCCATGACTGAGAAGGATTACATCCCCATCTTCAGCGGTCAGGAAGGCTTGGAGACCAGCTCTTCCAAGAAGGACAAGGACAAGGGAAGGAACAAGAAGAGGCAGGCTCTCCAGGACGAGTCTGCGAGGCTGAGGAAAGACTTCCAAGCGGGCGACTTTGATGCTGTCATCATAGCCTCCCCTTACGAGCCTTTCTCCATGATACAGCGGCTGAGACCCTACCTTGGTGGCTCGGCAAACATTGTCGTACACAGCCCTTACCTCCAGTCATTGGTGGAATGTCACGCAAGGCTGAGGCAGTCTGCCGAGTACATCAACGTATCCATCACCGAACCCTGGCTCCGGAGGTATCAGGTGAGTCGTTCACTATTTCGTCCGATTCACACATCCGCCCATTCCACTATCCCACCCCTCATCCCATTCGCTTCCAAGATCGGGTCACTCTCTTTGGCCGATCTACCTTGATGCTGCTGCCCTTTGCTGACCGACCGATCTACCTTGATGCTGCTGCCCTTTTTCCAGGTTCTACCGGGAAGGACGCATCCCGAAATGACAACCTCAGCAACGGCTGGATACATACTGCATGCGATCAGGGTGCTGACCGAGGAAGAGGCCTTGGCCATGAGGGAGAAGGAGAGGGCGAAACTGGAAGCTGAAGACATCCAAGGGTCAGCAAGACCAAGGGATGGAGAACAAGCTGAAATCGAAGCTGAACGTGACACCAAAAGGCCGAAGATCGAAGGGGGGAAAGCGGAGGAGACCATCAACTCGTCCGAAGCGATCGCGACGATGGATGTCGACGTTGCGTCATCAGCAACAGCACCGCCGTCCTCTTGATGCTTCGATTGCCTTCTATTTATTTATCATCCGGGATAGATCTAATTTCAAGCCTTGGCTTCACGGTTGCCATATCCATGCAATGACATCTGTAGGTGGAATCTGAGAAGGAGCACAACTCTCTCTCTTTGCCATCGACGTTTCCCAGCTGAATCATCCTCCTCTTGGTTCCATCTTCGAGGAACGACTTGAGCGAACCATCGACGGCGATAATCAAAGATGCGGCGCTGAGTCCAGACGGTTTTTTCTCAGCGAACAGTGCGTTTTTGGAGTGAGTTTCGACCATGAAAATTAAAAGTAGAAAGGGTGCGTGTGTTGGGGGGTGGTGGGACTGGGGTAGATGGGGGCGAATTGTGTAGCGTGCAGAAATGTGACCAATTTTGCATCAATTCAATTTAGGCTTAGGTTCGACAGTGAGTTCTCTTTGTGGTCGCTCTGTCACGAAAGAGAAGGCAATGCCGCCTACAAATGCTACCCTCTCGACCATCCGAGTGAACAGCACCGAGAGCAATCTTGCAGACTTACAACATGGTTCCCCATCGTGAAGCCAGGTTTCTCTCCCCGTCCAGATATCGGCTCTCTAAATGAAGCTTGAGTTCTCACCCAATCCATTCGCGTCAGTGCTGGGCTACTTGAGAGCCTGTGCTTTCAATTCATCAGCGTAGATCCTTGCCAATCTGGCTGCATGAGCTGGACTGTCGGCCAACGAAATTTGAGCTACTTGTCTGAAACATCTCTGGTCGTTAGCGAGGAGTCTTTGCAGGGAATCGATGGCTTTCTGCAAGGGAGGGACCATCTCGAGGAGAAATCCGCCCGTAGAATACCTCTCAAGAATGATCAGGATCCTATCGTACTTTCCAGAAAAGAGGATCGCGAAAAGATCCCACCCGACTTCGCCCTCCCCTACCGCCTCCGATTTGAGGTAAGCATTCATCGCGGCGGGAAGTAATAGAAGCCGGAAAAAGATCACACCGGTTCTAGCATCAACGGTCAAATCTGCGTCGCTTTCTGAAAATCCTTTCTCCAAAAGGCTGACCCGACAGTCGCGGATCAATTCTCTTCTGACGTGGATATTTTGAAGAAAGCGCAATGAGCAGATGTATTGATGGTAATTTACTGGCGACCAGGTCTGATCGATCTCGGCTGAGTATGTCCTTGCTTGGGCAAGATCTCTTTCCTCAGGAGTGGCCGCCTTTGAACGTCTTTGCGTAACGGATCCAAGGTCTTTTAAGTATGAAGGCCCATCGTTTCTCAGGTTCTCATTCAGCAACCTTCTTCCACGTAAGGTCAAGAATGTATTGAGTGGAGAAACGCTGTCCGAGGGTGTTCTGGAAGCCATTTTCCGATCTCCAGATTGATAATACTTCCTAACACTTTCTAGAAGCTCTTCACCTTTCCCTTTCTCATTCTCCATTTGGACTCTCT